GTATAAATTAATATGATAATATATTAGCATATTGTGTATATATAGGCATAGGATAGGTTAGGTCAGGTGTTTAGGTTCTGTTGGCGATTATTTGTATTTGTAGTACGTGGGTGAAGCATTTACAGAGTTGTGATTCGAACAAAATTCGTCAGCGAAGCAATTGTTCCGGATATGTTCGAACGTCAGCAGTTGTGAGTCGTGTGTAAACCGCTTTTCATTCATAAACAGGGGGTTTGGCGGGTGGATGGAATCACTTTTGGATCTTTGTTTGGAGGACGGGCCGCCGTTTGATGTGTGTTTCGAATGAGAGGTCTGGTGTGAAGTCAAACCCCAGGTCTATTTCTGTGTTCGATTTTAGGAGACCGTCTGCCAAGATGCATTCATAATTTATTTACATATAGTGAAATCAAAATCTTTGTTCTTATATATAGGTTAATAGTATTACATATTAAAGTTCTATATATTGTTAGGCATAAGTTAGGTTAGGTGTTTAGGTTCTGTTGGCGATTATTTGTATTTGTAGTACGTGGGTGAAGCATTTATAGCGTTGTGATTCGAACAAAATTCGTCAGCGAAGCAATTGTTCCGAAAATGTTCGAACGTCATCAGTTGTAAACCTATTTCATTCATAAACATTGGGTTTGGCGGGTGCATGGAATGAACTTTAGTGGCCTTTGATTGGAGGGAACGGGATGTTATTTGAAGTACGCGGGTGAAGCATTCTCATCGCGTTGCGATGAGAACAGAGGTCGTCAGCGAAGCACTGTTCGAGAAATATTTTTTCATTAAAAAAAATACAGGGGGTGTGATTGCTGTATAAACGAACTTTTTATTCAGACTTTGTTGGTGAGAACGGGATGCACATTATAAGAGGGCGGAGTATCATAGCATCCAAGTTTTTGTTTCGAAGCTCCATCCACTGATGACGTCACAAGACAGGTAGCCAAGCCATTTTATGTATAACAATTATTATATCCTACAATAATAATTATCACTAAATTAACAAATTTAAATGCTTGAAAAGTTAACTTTTTGTGTAGATTAATGTTGCAACAGAATGGCATTAACGAGGTTGATGTCCTGAACACCGGAGATGATATTAAATTGGTGGAGCATTGAGCTGAACCCTTCGTGTGATTGGCTGTTGAGGTGAGTGTCAACAAAGAGTTTCTACCAATGAGATGCAAGCTCGGATATGCGTCCTTCAGCACAACAACCCGCCGTATGGGTTACTGTTGGCCTGTTGATAGTGCAATGTTCTACCAACAGATGCCACCAGTTGTATCTCGTGTGCTGCTTGCTGTTAGTTTGTTGATAGTGTAATTCTATCCCAACAGATGGCATCAGCTGTACCTTATGGGCTAACCTAACCTGTTGATAGTACGTTTTCCTGCACATAAGTGGCATCAGCTGTATTGATGGCATCAGCTGTATTGATGGCATCAGCTGTATTGATGGCATCAGCTGTATTGATGGCATCAGCTGTATTGATGGCATCAGCTGTATTGGTGTTGATTTAGGGGCGACGACGAACGAGGGATCAGGTGCGTCCGGGATGTGCTATTTATTACATTATTGTATTATATGGTGTTGAATATGACCGAAAGGGTAAAATTAATAATTCTAACACGAATCTTCTCAATATTTCTTATGTTTTTCTTCACTGTCGAGGGAAGTTGAAAAATTAACTTTCCAAAGTTTATTTTCACACTTTATTATGGTCTGACGCCTAGGGATGCGCTTCGCAAGGCAGTACTTACATTTTCAAAGACTAATTTACTATGATTGATTGAAAAAGATTGAGCCACCCAAAAGGTGGCACGGGGATGAATAGCCCGTAAAATTGACTATGCATTTGCAAAGGCTTATATTATCTTTGGGTGAGGTAGTGCAGAACGTGAGGTGAACAAATGGATGAATGGCATAACATAAGGGATATTAATAGGGATTTACATGCATCAACATAGTTCTGGCTATTAGGTAGAATCCCTTAATTGTTTCAAGCTTAGGTTAGACTTATATACAAATGAATTTGGGTGGTTATAAATAGGAGCTCCCGCTTATGGGTCAATGGGCCTTCTGCAGTTTCTTTGATTTTTATGTTCTTAAGTTCTTAATTCTGTCTCTGCCGGAAATCAAACTGGTCACTGAACTGTGAATCGTGGACGCTGATCACTCGGCTGCAAGACCCTATGTGTGTGTGTTTGTACTCACCTGTTGTACTTGCGGGGGTTGAGCTGTGGCTCTTTGGTCCCGCCTCTCAACCGTCAATCAACTGGTGTACAGGTTCCTGAGCCTACTGGGCTCTATCATATCTACATTTGAAACTGTGTATGGAGGCAGCCTCCACCACATCACTGCCTAATGCATTCCATCCGTTAACCCTGTGGCTCATTTGGGTACACAGTTTCCACCTGTGTCCCCTTGCTCGCGCACCGCCCGTGTTAAACCGTGTATCCTCATCTAACCTGTTAATTCCTCTGAGAATTTTGTAGGTTGTGATCATATCTCCCCTTACTCTTCTGTCTTCCAGTGTCGTGAGGTGAATGTGTGTGTGTGTGTGTGTCAGATGAGGGCGTAGGCTACCACAGGTGTCAAAGTTTAGATACTAGAAGTTTCCGGGAGTGGGCGGCAACGAAGCAGTTCTAAGAGATGTAAAAAAGCTATGGACACAATATGGGCGTGGGCGTGTCTGTGACAACAATGACGGGAGGAGCGTGGGCGGGCCAGGTCAGTGGAGCACCCGCGGCTCACACAGCTGGTCGTGTCTCCAGGTCGTCCTCCGATCAGGCATTGGTCGTACTCCGATCAATCTCGCGTCCTCCGGTCGTCTTCTGGCCAACTTGGGGTGGTTCACTGGCTAAGGGTCGTCCTTCCCTCAGGTCCGAGGTTCGAGTCGTTCTCCTAAATGGTAAGGTGAGTCGCCTGAAAACGTATAACTGTTCAATGTCACGAAACACACACACACACACACACACACACATTCACACACACCCACACACACATTTAATTTGATCTACACTTTGATCTTAGCCGTTAGGCCTAGAAGTGACCTGTACACCAGTTAACTAACGGCTGCGAGGCGGGACCAAAGAGCTGACTCACCCCCACCCCCCCGAAACCCCAATCATATGATTACACAAACTAGATCACAGAGAGAAGTGAGATAAACGACAAAATTCCATGAAACATATTCACAATAGAATCTGAGGACCTGGCAGAAGCAGGAGGTGCTTACACAATCTACAGGTCTGTAAACGCCTCATCGTTCCCCCCTTCCTTCTCCCTCTCAAACACCTCTGCCCTTCTCTACCTCTCATTCTACTCTCTGACTCCCTTCCCATCCCTCCCATCCCCTCCCTTCCCCATCTTCTCCCCCCGTCATCGTCCCCATCCCCCCCCCCTTCCCTTGTCCACACGCAAACTGCTAAAAATACCAACTTCCGGTTCCTGTTCCAGAGTTTGGATCAGAGAGTTGGTGGGTGAGTGTTGTGGTGTTACTGTGTTGTGGTGTTACTGTGTTGTGGTGTTACTGTGTTGTGGTGAGCTTTACCGTGTTGTCATCAGCATAACTATGTTGTGATTAGCATAACTGTGTTGTGGATTATTTTCCGTATACCAGGGGCCAGATTCACGAAGCAGTTACGCAAGAACTTACTAACCTGCACATCTTTTCTCAATCTTTGGCTTTGTTTACAATTATTAAACACTTAATGAGTTCCGAAGCACCAGGAAGCGGTTTATAACAATAACAACAGTTTATTAGGAAGTTGTCATGCTTGTAAACTCTTTAATATATGTAACCAAAACCGTCAAAGATTGAGGAAAGATGTACAGGTTCGTAAGTCCTTCACTAACTACTTGGTGAATCTGGCCCCAGGTCTTCCCTTGCGACGTAGTGTGTTGCGAGGAGCTGGGTGTTGTGCGGTTACCTGCTGTGTTCAGGTAATTATATTCATAATAATTATAATAATATAGTTGTTATTTGAATTATTATTATTATTAGAGCTGTGTATACCATGATAATAATAATAATAATAATAATGTTTCACTAGTCAGAGTTTACTGTGAAGTTACAATCGACTTGAGAATGGTCCAGGACGGACCGAAACGTCGTCGTCCCTTCAACTTCTAGTGTGTGGTCTGGTCAACCTACTGTGAAGTTTGCAAGCTAGAATTGCATCTTCTCAGTGGAGTTCTAATTTTAGCTGTGTGGGGGATTAGAAAACTTTATTGTATACCATTTTGTTTTGTTAGCCATTCGCTTACAAGATTTTTTTGTTTTAATTGTTGGTGATAGCCTATTGTGGTTGTCGGCCTATTGCCAAAATGCGTTCAATAATTTTGTGTATTTCGGGTAGTAAGATCGTCGAATATACTCTGTTCATTTGCGCAAAGAACATCTGTCTGGTTGTCACATAATATAACTACCTCTTGCTACCTCTTCTTTGGTAGTTTATTCTTTAGAAAGGGACTTCAAGAGAAGTGAAAAGTCGGATATGCACTTTTTTTCCTTGTAAAATACACAGTGAGAAGCAATGCAGACGAGGAGTCACAATAACGTGGCTGAAAAATGTTGACCAAACCACACACTAAGAAAGTGAAGGGACGACGACGTTTCGGTCCGTCCTGGACCATTCTGTATGTACTAGCTCTACCTATAAGTCTACCAATCCTTGTAAAAATTTATTGTATGTATGTACCTTACCTAAATAAAATTGTATTGTATTGTATTGTATTGTATTCTCAAGTCGATTGTGGTCTATCAAGTCGATCAAGTCCATTTTCACAATCAACTTGAGAATGGTCCAGGACGGACCGAAACGTCGTCGTCCCTTCACTTTCTAATATGTGGTTTGGTCAACAGTGAGAAACAATATCTCGGTACTGGAGAGTCACGGGTCTACGGAGGCGTAGGGAGAAGTACTGACAATATGAGTAGAGTGTTATTTACTTATCGGAAAGTTGTGGTTGTATTCCCCCGCCATCTTGCAGCTCCCTGCCGGCCATAGTGGATGTCTACGCTACACTGGAACCTCGAGGGAGAGACATGGAGGCGTCAGTGAGACCCTTGTTGATGCTGCTGATGATGTTGATGATGCTGGTGGTGATGGGGGCGCCGCCATCACCACCATCACCTTCAGTAACACCGCCACGCAAGGTCTCTGGTGAGTCAGACACTACTTCCATTCTCTCTCTCTCCCTCTCTCTCTCTCTCTCTCTCTCTCTCTCTCTCTCTCTCTCTCTCTCTCTCTCTCTCTCTCTCTCTCTCTCTCTCTCTCTCTGATATATTGTTAGAAAACTGTTCAACAGAGTAAGCATTCAACTCATGTATATCAGATATTAGCACGTGTATTGAAGTCACATGTTTATGTCATGGGTGTGAGTTGTGTGATGTGGGTGTGGCGTAGTTGTCAGGTGTATGTTAGCGCTACAAGCTTGTATTATGACTATATATGTATATGTAGACTGTGGCTACAGATGTGTGCTTGGTTCAGACACTGCTGTATAGTTGTGGCATAGATGTGCAGGCTCTGTTGTGGTTTGTGGGAAAAGTATAGAGGGCATGGACAGTCGGAAGATTACAGGTATGTGGTGGAAGTTAAGAGGTGCAAGTTACAGTTATCCTGTGCAGGCTACAGGAATATGGCGGCGAAACAGATGTGCCAGGTACAGGTGTGTCGTGTTTGTTCCTGCAGGTGTGGCGCTGCTGACAGCGGCGGCGAAGGGGAAGGCTGGACGGCTGGCCAATATCTTAAGACGTCCCGGAATCGACGTCAATTACTCAGAAAAGACAGGTAGTAAAGTATCCATTATCCCGTCCTGTTGCAGTCGTTTCATAAAAACTGTTGTCTCGTGGGAGGTAATAACTGCATTGTTTACTTAGCTTATTGCCTTTGCATTCTGTAATTACCTGAGGGCCACCATCTCTAGTGCCTCCTAACGGGGAATAGGAAGGCACTAGCTTGTTAAAGTTCCGCCTAGTATACCGTTATATACTTGTATCGTTTTGTATGGTAAATATATGAATGAGGTGAAAGACATGATCTTCATTTGTTTTAAGTTGGTTTATGGTGCATTTCCTTGTATGGGAAGGCTGGTATCGGGGATACACGGCGTTGATGTGGGCCGCGGCAAGGAACAGCTCACAGATGGTGGACTCCCTCCTCAACACGGGCGCAGACGTCAACAAGAAAAGCTACACCGGTATGTATTCCACTTCCCTACTCGAGGAAAAGAAGTTTGGCTCCATGGTTAGATAACTAATACCATTCGCATCCATGTTAATGCTTCAGGCTACTCTCGTTCAGTATCCACACCCTCCACTTACCACACCTCAACTGGTCACACCTCGTCTAACCACATCACCACTAACCACGCCACTAACAAGGCACTTTCCCCCCTTCCTGGACACAGACGTGACGGCGCTCTTCCTGGCAGCTAAGGAGGGCTTCCTGACGGTAGTACAGCAGCTGCTGAAGAAGGGAGCCAGACCTGATATACCTACGGCCCAAGGTGAATAATAAAAGTTGTGGTAGCAGCAACAGTAGTTGTGGTAGTAGTAACGGTAGTTGTGATAGTAGGAGGAGTAGTAGTAGTAGTTGGATAAGTTCTTTTCAAGTGATTAAGTGTTCGTAGACTATTTAGCAGCGTTACGTCTACCAACGAGATATAAATGCGAGACTATACAATAGTCTGATAGAAATGGAAATATATGACAGATTATTAATTGTTGGTTTTAAGACCTATCAACGTCAGGAAGGTTATTATTATACTTTAGTCCTGAAATATGTTCAGGACTAATTGATTGAATTAGGATTGAAGTTAACTCAGCGCATATTCAGTGAAGTATTACTCAGCGTATATTCAGTGAACACCCACTGAGTGAACACTTCACTAAGTATTAATGAAGTATTACTCAGTGTATATTCAGTGAAGTAAACTGAATAGGACTGAAGTAACCTTTCAGTGTATATACACCGAGGAAGCGGGATACACTTCTTTGTATATATAACACTTGTTTTGTCTTTATATTTGATCAGTTTAAACTATCTTGTAGAGCCTAAGCGTCGTCCGCTCGGATACGATGTACGCATGCGTGGGCCTGAGCGTCGTCTGCTGGGCCACCATGTACGCCTGCGCGAGGATCTTCTGCGCCGAGTCGACGTCTGGATGCCTCCTCCGCCTGGGAACCGCTTGATCACGTTCCGTTTTGCGATTTGGATTTGATGCTCTTCAACGGTCCAGTATGTACGATGCCTGGCGCACTTATCGCCTTGGGTCACGGGATTGTTTTTTCCGTGTTCTGGCTGGTTCTCCCGGCGGGGTGACGGTGTCCGGCGCCGGCTTGGCCGAAAGGTGCCGGGAGTTGGTGGGTCTTGGTGGGCTCCTGGTATTTCCTCAGCCGTGGTGGGCGGCTGGCTTCTGCTTTGCCGGGGGGCACTGGATGACCTTTGCGTACTAGCTGGGGCCGAGTTTTTGGGTTTGCTACCCAGTGTTCTCTGTGTGGGGCGGGGCCGGTGCTTGTCACCCTGAGGGACTCCTGGAGCTCCCCAATCATCTGCCTGTCTGCGTTTCTTTGCCGCGAGGCATATGAAACCAGTGATTGGCGTCACTTGTTTCGCGATTAGGCTTGGCGTTTCACCTTTCCGGGCTTCACGATTAATGTCGGAAAATCCGACACCATTTAATATATCATACAGATAATAGCTGTATTACCAACAAGTTACCCATAGAAAACGTAACTTGTAGTGGAATTACCGTCTATAGAAAACGGGATATCATCACCACATACTATTATAATTCACCAGCTATTCTGCTGGGAATTATTCTTAAATACATAAGTCTTTGGACTTTACCATCATAAAAACATCTTATATAAATTAACTTAATTATCAATATTAAAGTAGAGTAAATGTGACCCTTCTATCACTTTCTGACATGTGGACAAAGTAGGCCAGGCGTCAGGGGGAAGGAGGGCAGCCATTGTTGTGTCACCTCCGAGACGTGTGGAGCGAGTTCGGCTCCTATCATTCTGGACAATGTCGGCCAGTAACGTCAATAGAATGGAGTGTTAAACAGCCATTGTTTATATTGAGACCAGAGGCTCACACGGGAGCAAATACGGCTCCTGTTAATTTTACTTGGACGTAGTGTTATGGAAACCAAAGGTACCATCTCCAACACGATGTCTACAATTCAAGTTAAGTCTATCCGAAACCCGTTTATCATTCATTTATGGCCATTAATGTCAGGATATAGGGTGACCCGGTTAGATCGCGAAATCGCCTCATACTAAAGGTAATTAAGCCAGGTCTTCAATGTTCTGTATAGTGTTTTCTCTGATATAGCTTGTCATATATAGGATTCTGGCTTCACAGCTAGCGCACTTTTGACAGGTCAAGACGAGGAAGGAAGATTTGTGCACCAGTTACTGGGTGATATGGAAGCTACCTCAAAGAGGATAATTTGGTGTCTACACCCTAGTTATACCTGGTGGACTAACCTGCTGTACTATAAGATAAGGAACCTTTTCAATGTATGTAGTTACTGTAGTTTGATTGGCTGCATACATATAAATATAAACCCCCCTAATGTGTAGAGGATCGATTTGTGAGATTATGAGATTATTGCAGAAATACAGTCCACTTATTATTATACAAATTGCTATCGAAGTATATAAATTAACGTAAATATAAATTCATATAAATTAAATAAATATAAAACTCACAAGTCGGTCCCCATATTATTTGGTCATCTTCGAACCGGATGACGGATTATTTGATCCTTTGAACCCACATTTGGTCATCTTAGTACCGGATGAACCAGTTAACCAGTGGATTCATTAAATATACTAGTGCAGTGTTATTTAAACAAAGCCAGCCAGTCATAGACAGCGGCGTTGCCTCGTGGGAGCTCAGGAGCCTCCCTCAGCCCAGTTCAGCTTCGTCAGCGGTTTCATGCACACCCACAGATATTTGGTGGCGTGTTATTTCGTGAAATGACAGCGCTAATATAGAAGCCAGCCTAATTAGTGACTGTGTCTTCGCGATATTGTTCACGGATTTCGTGGTGTTACATTTCGCGAGAGATTATCCACGAATTTTGTGGACTTTATTTCGCGAGGTCACTAATAACATTTAATACTTCTAGATAATATTAGAAGTTTCATAGAGGCTAATTAAGAGGCTATTAACAATAATTGTGTATATTATTTCTCCAAAATAGAGAATTATTTAATATATATTGCACTAGTGATCACAGTATAATATTTACTAATTGCCAACCCACAACAGGGTAGGATATTACCATTGACTAGTTGAACTATTATTGTTCATCCTAGTCCCATTATTACTATAGTCAGTTGTACTATATTCAACAACCTAACACCATTAATGAATGGTGCAGACCCTATTTTGGGTGTAATTTTTATCAACTCGAGTTGAGTTGTATATATAATAATTTACTTATGATCATTACACCTTTGAGTGATTAATTAGTGTCTCTACCATCCTAGGGTGATATAGAAGAGCTAACCTAAAGGTACTTCCAGTGACACTGGTTTATCACTCAAATCATTAGTGTGTATGATTGTGTATATATAATGTGTATTAATTTTAAGTGCTAACCTCTAGTAGAGGTAGGATTATTGCCTAGTGAGTTCAGAATTTACCCTAGGCTACCATTAGTGTTTGTTCAGTATTATGAGCAGCCCAAGTACAAGTCCCACAAGGCTTCACCAACGAGCCAGTATGGATAATGCAGGGAGAATGAAAAGAACCCTTGCAGGTCTTAAAGGCCACTTAACAAAACAGATCAAGAAATGTGAAGATTTGTCACAACAATCAACAGTTGATTATGCTGACCTGGAAAGCTATTATCAAGCAGCTGCAGGTAAATTTGAGCAAATCAAATGCCAAATGGCTGTCCTTGTGGGGACAGACTACTACCATCAATTCATCGGTAGCCCTACTAAATATCAGGGTATAACCATGTTAAACTCTGCAGGAGGTAAATTACTCTCAGGCCCAGTATCAAGCCTGAGGAGACCTATGCCTGCAGATAAACAACACCAATAGAAACTAAATTTGTCAGCTGATTATATTTCTCCAGTAGCATTATACTAAGGAGATTACAGCTGACTATACCAACAGAGGTTGATGTTAGTATCATCATTTAAAGCTGGAGATGAGTTCATGAGGCCTCAGTGGCAAATCAGTGAACAGTAGCCTAAAACAGCTACAAGTCACTGCGACCAATGTCACTGAACCCACTGCAGTCTCAGAACCATACTTTGCTTTAATGATGAGCTATTCAATCTTCTGAATCAATTAACTAATTAAACCCCAATAAATCTGATGACTGATTTGATACATTTATTATTTAATCAAGATGTATTCCATGGGCCTCAGTGTTTATATATCAGTGACCAGTTACCTGAAGAAACTTCAAGTTATATCTAATGTCACTGATCTCACTGCAGTCCCTGAATCATACTTGACTGTAGTACTTGATCACTTCCAGTCTTCTGGGTTAAATAATATGTAATAAGGCTTGAATATTAGCCTTTCAAGAGTTGACAGGGAAATGAAATCGCATTAGACTTCTAACCCCTGCAACTCTAGTACGGGACATCCGTCCTGTACGAACAGACGCACAAATGTGTGATTACTAACTACTAACATCAAATTAATCAAATAATTCGAAGGAGGAGTATCGGTGTTCGTCTGTTCTAAAGAGGACTTCGACCCGTGAGCAGCCCCCTGGGGAATTATGTCGGAAAATCCGACACCATTTAATATATCATACAGATAATAGCTGTATTACCAACAAGTTACCCATAGAAAACGTAACTTGTAGTGGAATTACCGTCTATAGAAAACGGGATATCATCACCACATACTATTATAATTCACCAGCTATTCTGCTGGGAATTATTCTTAAATACATAAGTCTTTGGACTTTACCATCATAAAAACATCTTATATAAATTAACTTAATTATCAATATTAAAGTAGAGTAAATGTGACCCTTCTATCACTTTCTGACATGTGGACAAAGTAGGCCAGGCGTCAGGGGGAAGGAGGGCAGCCATTGTTGTGTCACCTCCGAGACGTGTGGAGCGAGTTCGGCTCCTATCATTCTGGACAATGTCGGCCAGTAACGTCAATAGAATGGAGTGTTAAACAGCCATTGTTTATATTGAGACCAGAGGCTCACACGGGAGCAAATACGGCTCCTGTTAATTTTACTTGGACGTAGTGTTATGGAAACCAAAGGTACCATCTCCAACACGATGTCTACAATTCAAGTTAAGTCTATCCGAAACCCGTTTATCATTCATTTATGGCCATTAATGTCAGGATATAGGGTGACCCGGTTAGATCGCGAAATCGCCTCATACTAAAGGTAATTAAGCCAGGTCTTCAATGTTCTGTATAGTGTTTTCTCTGATATAGCTTGTCATATATAGGATTCTGGCTTCACAGCTAGCGCACTTTTGACAGGTCAAGACGAGGAAGGAAGATTTGTGCACCAGTTACTGGGTGATATGGAAGCTACCTCAAAGAGGATAATTTGGTGTCTACACCCTAGTTATACCTGGTGGACTAACCTGCTGTACTATAAGATAAGGAACCTTTTCAATGTATGTAGTTACTGTAGTTTGATTGGCTGCATACATATAAATATAAACCCCCCTAATGTGTAGAGGATCGATTTGTGAGATTATAAGATTATTGCAGAAATACAGTCCACTTATCATTATACAAATTGCTATCGAAGTATATAAATTAACGTAAATATAAATCCATATAAATTAAATAAATATAAATCTCACAGGTCGGTTCCCACAATTAACCCTACACGAGTGCGCCGGGGCGCATCCGATCCCACGATCGTCGTCGCCCCTAAATCAACAACAACAACAACAACTTCTTTCATAGTTAAGAGCATCAAAATAAATTTATCACAAAACCATTACCAAACAACCCGAAGCGTCGCATTTTTGGCATTCAACAATTTGATAAGAGTTTAATTAGAGGAGACTTCAATGCGCGCAAGAAATGATCAGAAGCCCTGAACCAGTAAGGCTATAGTGAGGAACCTTCTTAAAGCCCATCCTTCATGGTGGTGATCATGGTAACTGTTGTTGCAGCAGTCGTAGCTAGCTCTGGTTGGAGGAGCAGTGGTATCCGAGACGCCAGTAGTAGCAGTAGTATTAGAAGCATTATTAATAGTTCGCAGTAGTAATAGTAAGAGTAGTAGTAATAGTAGTAGTAATAGTAATAGAATTAATTATGGTAGTATTTGTTGAAGTAGCAGCGGAAGGGATAGCAGTAGTAGCAACGTTAGCAGCGTTAAGCTGATGATAATAAATAATTTAGTTAATATTATAATCATTATTATTATTATTGTCACGGAGCTGTGATCGCTAGATTGTTTCATGTATGTTGGTTTGTCATGTATGTATACACCTACATGACATAACTACTGGCAGGTATTCCCCTAATGACCTCAAGATGTATTTATTGCTTATCTCAATAAACATACTTGAACTAATGACCTCAATACTGCCCCGTTTCACCCCTAATTCACCCTCTCCAGGTTTCACTGCCCTGCTCTATGCCACCTGGAACGGCCACCTGCGGGTAGTGGAGGAGCTGCTCGCTTACAAGGCCAACCCCAACTATCAGACGCACACCAGCAGTGAGTAGAACCCTTGTACTTGAACTTCCCACCACCAGGGGTGCTTGTACTACTCATAGTGTGTTAGTACAACCGAAAGGGTATTTGTGGGGGGTAGAAATAGCCTAAGCTACTCTATCCCTTTGAGATGTATTTATTGCTTATCTCAATAAACATACTTGAACTTGAACTTGAAGGGTATTTGTGCTACTTACAAATTTGTAAAATATTTGTGGGTTTAAGATCTGTCAACCTCCCTAGGGAGTTATTAAGACGTCCATAAGTGCTTATAATAACCATTCAGCAAGTTTAATTGAGTCCTGAACACAACGAGAAGATGAATATGCTTCTGGGTGCTTGTCCTTAAGACCTTTCAACTGCTGGAGGGTAATTAAGGTCGCGACATAAGGTGTTTTACGAACTAGCAAGTATACTTTAGGTCCCTCAACATAGTCCAGGACTAATTTAAACTCTTAGTGTATTTATACACACCAGCAAACAAGCTACTCTTCTCGGTTACGTTACTCATATGCGTGATCGCGTTACTCAGGTATGAGGTCGCGTTACTGAGGTACGAGGTCGCGTTACTCAGGTACGAGGTCACGTTACTGAGGTACGAGGTCACGTTATTCAGGTACGAGGCCGCGTTACTCGGGTACAAGGTCGCGTTACTCGGGTACGAGGTCGCGTTACTCAGATACGAGGTCGCGTTACTGAGGTACGAGGTCGCGTTACTCGGGTACAAAGTCGCGTTACTCAGGTATGAAATCAAATTACTCAAAAAGTGTGTGATTGTTCCTTCAGAATACTTCGCGCTGTACCTGGCAACGACGCGAGGCGACGCTCGACTGGTAACACTGCTGCTAGGGGCGGGCGCCGACCCCAACCTCCACACCTCCTGGGGTATGTACCTCGACGCTCCCCCCTCTTCCCCAACCTCACCCACCCCTCACCAGCACCCCCTCTCACTCCCCAACACCTTCCCCCCACCAACTCCCTTACTCATTTTACCTTTCACAGCTTCTTATGGGTTCCCTCGAAACCTCACAAGCTGACGTACGTAAACTCACAAACTGTCTCCCAACCTCATGAAGGCTCTCTCTCTCTCTCTCTCTCTCTCTCTCTCTCTCTCTCTCTCTCTCTCTCTCTCTCTCTCTCTCTCTCTCTCTCTCTCTCTCTCTCTCTCTCTCTCTCTCTCTCTCTTGTCCTCATAAGTGTATGTGTTCGCGTGTGTGTGCGTGTGCGTGCTCACTAACTGGTTGTGCACACACCCACACAGGGGTGACGGCGCTGCAGACGGCGGCGGTGTGGGGTCGGGTGAATATCGCCGGCTTGCTGCTGGGAGCCGGGGCGCTGCCGGACCTCGCCAACTCTCACGGTCCGTCTCATTAGAGTATTGTAATCCTACACCTGTTATCTTGCACACTCTAGCATCATCATACGGACGTTCTCATCATCCACAGTGTGTATATATATATTTATCATCCTATTCGATATATTATACATAAATTTGTATATATAGACTGTCTGATCATTTTAATTGTATTATCATCCGCTCTGTAATCATCTACGTTGTGTTTTCTTCCTGTCTGGCTTATCATCCGAATTAAGTTGTCATTCAGAGTTCCAGATAATGGAATCATGCAGTGTTATCATCCAGATAGTGGAATTATGCAGAGTTATCATCCAAACAGTGGAATTATGCAGTGTTTTCATCCAATACTATTATCCAAATAGTGGTATCATCCACACAGTGATATCATTCAGTGTTATCATCCAGTATTATCATCCACAGGACAAACTCCGCTGATGACGGCAGCGGTGTACGGGGAGCATCAGATGGTCGACATCCTCGTGGAATCAGGAGCAAATCTCGACCTTCAGGATGAAGCTGGTGAGTATGTCATTATATTGCAGGGGGCCTTGAAGAGGAGGGGCGTAGTTGTGTAGAGGGGTTAAAGGAGGGGAGAAATGGGGGAGAAATGGGGGAGAGGGGAAAAGTCGTCAGGTTAGAGGGAAGGAAGGAAGGGGTCATATTGGGGACACAAAGCCATCACATTAATCTAAGTCATGTGTGTTTGAGAGTACCCGAGAACCTGCGTTCGAATCGTTTTAATGACTCCTACTGATTATTATTATAGCTTGATGTTAATGCTTTCTCAATATTGCCAATGCAACAATGACGTGCCTCAGGCAACACGGCGCTAATATGGGCCAGTAGACGAGGCAACGACGACGTTATTCCAGCGTTGTTGAGGGCTGGTGCTGACGTCACCATTCACGATAATAACAGTAAGTTTTGGCGGGAATAATGAATATTGTTATTATCATCATTGCTGGGATTCTATGTTTATATTGAATTGTTATTATTACAGTGTTAATAATGTTTACCGACAATATTGCAAATGGGAAATACAAATCACATTACAGTAAGTCTGTACTAATTGTAACTTCACAGCAATGGCTGCAAATATTGTTCATACAAGTACATGAATCTGGGTCTAAACTAGCTTCCTGTCGTCACTAGTCATATGACACTAGTCACATGTCGTCACTAACCACATGTCACAAGCTGTATGTTGTTATATTCCAGAGAGAACAGCTATGCAGTGGGCGGCCAGGCGAGGTCACGCCAGGTCAGTTAATCAGCTGCTCAAGTTCTGCTCAGACCTCGCGTTCAACACCACCTTGCTTAAGATGGGTATGTTGTGTGTGTGTGAGAGAGAGAGAGAGAGAGAGAGAGAGAGAGAGAGAGAGAGAGAGAGAGAGAGAGAGTATGTTTACCTATATTCCAGTCATTGTTAACGTACTTAACTTTTCCAGGTGAGTGTGCGTTCTCTGAGTCTCCGTCAACATGCTATTCTGCCCTCTCCCCTACCTCCTGTGGAAGGGGTGCTCCTCCACCCCGTCTCCCTCAAACAACGACTCCAGCTCCCCAGCCATCCTCACCAACATCTCCCCCACCGTCACCCCCTACAGAACCTCATCAACCTCCTCTAGGAACCTCAACGGAGGCCCTCCACAATGAAGCCCCAACAACTGGGGGTCTTCTCACAGCAAGCACACCAACAGCCCAGACTCTGACCACAGCAAGGATTCCAGAAATCCTGCCGCGCAAGCTTCTTCGGACCCATTTCGAGGATAGGGCACTGTCCACGGCACTGTCCACGGCACTGCCCACGGCACTGGCCCCCTCGCCCCAGATGCCATGCTCCTCTGCAGCCACGCCAACGGTTCCACTCAAGGTTGTCCTTAGCATTGCCATCATTCTGAGTCTCTGATAATCAATTTCAAACCATTGGAATCAGGAGTTGACTACTCTCTCTGTCTCCAATTTAATTTCCATCAACTTGTCAAAGAACTCTCAAGTTGGTCAGGTCAGTAACTCTTTACTAAGTTCATATTAATGCTTAGAGACGAAATTATTATACTAAATGTTCTTAGTCCTCTTCTGATCAATTATTCTGAAAGGAGCTACCCCTTGACATTTGGTGTAACCGTTCGTTAATGTCCTAACGGAAGGGAATGGGAACCCGCGTCCCGGCCTGGGTGTTTGCCGTGGTTGCCATCATGGTTGCCGTCGTTATTGAGGCAACATTCCTTGTCACACACTAGATGCCTCTCTCTCCGATGTGCTGGATAACTCCTCCAAGCTTCAGATAACCTGGGCTAAGACTCGTCAAGCATTTACGCAACCATTTACGAAACCTGTGGAGGCGATGAGTCACAATAACGTGGCTAAAGTATGATGACCAGACCACACACTAGAATGTGATGGGACGACGACGTTTCGGTCCGTCCTGGACCAATCTCAAGTCGATTCTAAACTACGAAACCTGAATATCTTGTGTTAATTATGACGGCTTTGCTTACATTATATATATATATATATATATATATATATATATATATATATATATATATATATATATATTAAACTATTTATGAACTTCTAAACTTCCTAATTCAAGGTTATTATCGTTATAAACAACTTCGTAGTGCTTCGGAGATCATAATCTCTTTAATAAATGTTAACAATGCCTCTATGATCGAGGAAAGACGTAGAGGTTTCGGAAGTAGTTGCGTAAATGCTTGACGAACACTGGCTGACCCTCCCTGTCTGCTGTGACCTTTGCTCCTGCAACATCCCTTACAGAGATCATTTCTCGGATTAAGTGGGTGCAACAAGGTACCAGACGGCATGATCCAAGGCTCAAACACACCAACAGCTGTGAATGAACTTCAGGTAGATGTTAGTCAGGTAGAATGGACGATTGGACTTCGGGTAGATGAATGATTCAAGTAGAAGCGTCCTCTGTCAGGTGGTGCTCAGTGCTCTGGTGAATTAACGTTAATTTCACGTCATTGATGATCATGAAGGTTGCAGGTTCGAACCCCAAGTAGTGCTGCTTGTAACATTTGTTCTCAAAACATGATGTGATTTAATTATAATTATAATGTATAAACTCACATTGCAAAACTTGTGATATATAAATATAAGAAACCACAGAGGTTATTATATAGAAGAAAATTAGCAAGTTAGTGTGGAGCTCTATCCGTATAGGCCTCATTAAGGCGCACGGAGCTAATTAACCTCTTGTACTAATAGTTAACTCAGTTCTATTTCCTGTAAATTATCGAAATGGTTGATCAATCCAGATGAACCAATTAATTTGTGCTATATTCCCTTCAAATATAAAGAATAATGTCGTTTAGTTAATAAATGATATAATTAAATCTACAAGATGACTGTCAATTAGTCTCAGTATAACTTTCCTCTTCATCAAAGTTTAAGTGATGTCGAAAAATAATTTGATGCTGAGCTATTACTGAACTAATTAAGCTGACCACTAAAAATTGTTTGGTATAACAAATTCCCATTAAATATAAGACATTTGTAATGGCAATGAATAACCCAGTGTCAGCAGTGAATAATTTTTAAATGGAGTTTTTGTTTTAAATTGAAATTCCAAGGGACATGACCTCTTGGATCCGTAATAAGTTTTATCCAATGAAGGTTCTCACGCTCCTATTGGTCCACGACGGCACATCTTATGCACGTCTTGCTAAGAAAGTTATCTCTTGCAAAATAATTCACATCAAACATGGCCGTATTGTAGAGTAGTTGAGGCTATGGTTAATATTACGACATCTGATATTAATATTACGATGTATAATTTTAACATTTTCGTTGTATAATGTAACTAAAACATGTTCGTGCATTCGTTGTCTCTTCATTTTAGCCAGCCAGTGTTTGCTCAGGTGTGTGGAGCAATAAAATACATCTCAAAGGGATAGAGTAGCTTAGGCTATTTCTACCCTCCTCGCTGAGGCGTGTAGCAGGTGGCTGCATCCTCTCGTTATCTCTCAGCATTCTGTTATCTCCCCAGAAGGGAAATCATAGCCATCAGTGGTTAACTCTGAGGAGAAGTAAACAAAGAAGCTGATTTTCCTCTATGCTAAGAAAAATAACAACCATTAGGCCTGTGTTGTTTTGATACATCGTGTGGGTAGGGTGGAATGACGGGATATAGGCTTAGGCTACTTTGGTACATTTTGTGAGTTGGGTGGAATAATGATTTAGGCCTGTGCTACTGTAGCCCATTGTGTGAGCAGGATTTAGTATGTAAATTTGGTGACCGTCACCTCACCAGGAAGTGTCGACATATTCTAGATACAGGCATAAAACACAATGACTCATACACACATATATGTATTGAATTACGACATACAAATGTGCAGCAGTAAAATATAGTCACAAGTTGTACATTCCTCTGATATGATTCCTTGAGCATTTTGAGTATGATAGTATGATACAAGTTTGATACATAATCGGTGGTATTGGTTAGACCTCATCAACATGGGCTGAAGACAACACCACAGCAGCCATGCACCACAATATTGCTTCAGATACAAAATGGCTATTGCTACATGTCTACGACACAGGATAAATGATTTGGTAAAGTCTTATTCCGGCGACGTGAGAGTTGTCATAAGGTTGATGGCGGTGGTGTGGAGCGAGGAACGGAAGCCGCTGCTGATACAGTCAGCTGGTGAAGAGTCAGGTGGTGTTAGAGGGTGTAGAGGCGGGGTCCTGGAGCTAGACCAGCTCTTGTTACAGTTGGTGTAGGTCTCGGCGATGTTATAGAGCGAGATTGGAATTGGACCAGGCGGTATGAGGGGGAGGTATGGATCGAAGTGGGTCTGGAAGTGAACCAGCTGGTGGACTGGCCAGCGATGAGTAGACTGGCCAGCGATGAGTAGACTGGCCAGCGATGAGTAGACTGGCCAGTGGTGGGCGGACTGGCCAGTGGTGGGCGGGGAATGAACCACACTTCACACACCCCAGGCTTTTCACACCTTCACGTGATCGACACTTACACACAAACGCCTCAGTGGTATCCAGGAATAATTTATTTTTGTGGGGTATTGTTGTCTATTTGTATAAAAATAAAATAAAGACTGATGGACGCCGACTTTGACACACTTTATGGAAACATTAAATGAAGGAAACACGATTGGCACTTGAAACAACATAACGATATCCAGTGCCAAGTCTTACTTTGGCACGATCACCTTCTGCACTGATAACTTTTAACTGGGAATCACAACTCTGTATTGCTTTCAATAAATACCTAATATCGTATCTAAGTCTTCCCTTCTCGCGCTATTTCTGACTTGACACATCACCAAATTTGGCGAGGTGTCTGTGTGAAGTCTGAATGTGTCTCACAAATACAACCTTAATGTGTTCACAAATACAGACTCAATATATCTAACAGATAATACAGCCAAAAAATGGCTCACAAACAATACATCATATGTCATTGTATTAGTGACGTTTTAATTAGCATTTCCAGGTGATATTACTGAACTAAACCGTATTATACCTAAAACTTCTGCACTTGTTATCAGAACTCTTGTCTGTTTATGTTCATCTGAATTTTACATTACGCAAGTCAGGCCTATGGTGTCTTGTCGAAAAATTAGGTTTCAACATAAGAGAAAAAAAGATTCTGCATTACAACTCTTGTGAGATGATGTAGATGCTTCTTGTGTGGGATGTCGCTCTTGAATATGTAATTAACGTAAATATCAAATAATAATAATAATAGGCTTCGTTTCAATTGCGAATGTGCATAGTACGCAAGTCAATGTTTATAATCTCCCACCCGAGTTGCTTAGTACAGCCCACTGTTTACACTGTTTATGTTTGCACGCCACATAAAGACGCATCGACCTCTCGGGGCTGATTATATGGTTATTCCCCGTCTTCCAGAGTGTTCGTCTTCACTTTCTCTCGCCTTTGTAGCTACTGAAGACCCATGAGAGTCGCTCGGCATGTCTGCAGATGTCACGACTGTCACTGAGTCACACAAAACACGCCGGAGGGGTCGGCGTAAAGGCCACAACAACACATGGGCTCATGAATGAATCTGACTCCTGGTTTTAGGATAATCTTTCTGATATTTTATTGTCCCTTACCAGCCACCTAACACATATATTGCAGTTCTTATGGTAACACTGATCGAGCAACTTTTCTTCCAAATGTAAAGTAGCGAAGTGTTCCATATACATTAGGGAAGGTTGTGACACTATGCAAATGACTCACAAATTACAGCATTTTTTGGGTAAAGTTCCTCTTGTGTAAATGTTCATGAACGTTCGAGTGCTCAGCTTATTTTTAAACAAATTTATCTATACACAGAGAAATAATATAAACTTAAAAAAAATTATATTAATAATTTCCAGACAGGAAACTCGCCATTTCAGCTGAAGTGTCAGGCACGACACTTACCAGTGGCTTTATTTTTCTTGGTATTTAACAGAAACTAAAGATCTAATAGTTTTTGCATAATATTTAACAGCATTCAGCATTAGACAGTGGAGAGTAAACACACACAATTGTTCCTGTCTTTAAACATCACACTGTTAAGTCTTTTGATGTATTGTACCTCTGGCAGCCCACTAGAGCCCCTCTGTCATCCCACTATTGTTACCCTAGTTATAAACGGACGTCGTCGGGTAGTCAGAGTCCAGACTGACTGATCCCCCGTGTGTGATCATGCTCAGTGTTCTCTCGAACTGCTCCTCCAAGCTGTCCTGTGAAATGGAGGATCGGCAGCTTGCTCTTCTGGTCGAAGACGTCTCCAAGTCGTCTGCTACCGCTGTGTTGAAGGTGGAGGTGTTGGACGTCGAAGATAACTCCATGTTTTGGTCTGGATATTTTAAGGTATTTGACAAGCTGTGTACGTCTCTCTGACTTTGTCCTTCCTTGACAAGTTTCTGAATTTCTCTTTGGTAGTCGTCCTCCTCTGGAACGTGATTTGAGCGAATCACACTACAGGTTGATCTCTGGATATCGTAGCTCAGTGAACCATTTTCTTTACCGTTTCCTTCTCCACTTGATTGGCGTTTTCTCTCGTGGGGAATGAAGAACGATGCCTCGGTGTCGCTGCAAGACTGAGTTATATCGTTGTCGTTGTCGTCGTCCTCGTCGTCGTCGTCGTCGTCGTAGCAGCTGATGGAGAGGTCGGTGGCGGACTCTGTGTTAAGTGTGAGGTGCTGGAGATCTCGGCGGGAGGGAAGCCGTGGACGATGCTTGACAGACTGTTTTGGGACAGACGCTTCCTCATAGGCATTGACCACCTCGTACACATCGGTGCTGAGGCCACTGTACTGGTACTCCTGCAGGAGACATTGTATACGTTAGACATATGAAATCATACATGGGACACAGCAATCGTTCAATAGCATGTATATAGTGTAAGATGTTGGCTATATTATTTCTAAAAAAATACAATATAGAAGCGAACGTTATACATCAAAAGACAAACAAAATGTATCAAGTTGAGTACGTCACACGTAACCAATAGTTTTCTATGGAACTTACTGAAACAGTTCCCGGTGCTGTGTCATGTTTGTGCTGCTCGTTGTATTCAGGCTCTAATACTACCTCATACATTTTACCATTAAACTAAGGAATGCAATCCTGAAATTACTATTACTTTACGAAATAAATATATATATATAAATTCAGTCCACAAGTGTCCTGATCATAATAATAATACCGTAATTCAGAACTAATACGTGCCAGGCTTGGTAGAGAGTGCGTATAAAGACAAACGCTAAGAACATTTAAAGAATAAGGAGAATACTTTCCGTATAGTCTACTTTTGGATATTCTTAGAGTCATGGCGTCAGAATCACCAATTTGGTTAAAACGTACAAACAACAGCCGTAGTCACTGACCACAGCGGGAGAGTAGACCTGGAGGTCACCTCGAGCAGAGTTCAAGTGGAGGACGGTGGAGCAGCCTGAAGAGGGGCCGGAAAAGGACTCCTGCGCCGGCGGGAGGTTGACATCATCGCGGCAGCAGCTGCAATAGTCCCCGGTGTACCAGGTGCTTGTGTCAGAGTCTCGCCAGCTGGAGGAGCTGGTGCGGGCGGCGGAGGTGGTGTAGCAGGTGCCAGTGTGGCGACGGACCACACTAGCAGGGCTTGACTGTGCCTTCTCACTCCGTGCAGGTAGAGACTCAGTCTGCTGGAGAGAGAAAACCGTTACTGATGGATCTATATCCATGGGAATGGATTATCCGTGTGAAATATCATTACTGATATATCCATATCCCTGGATAATATCATTACTGGTACATCCATATCCATTGATACAATATTTACTAGAGCATCCACATCCATGGGTAAGACGTTTTTTGATGAATTTTATTCATACCTGTTGGAAAAATGACCTTTAATATTCGATTTTATAATTGTATTTCGTTGTGATATTTTTACAAAAGGAAGCTTCTTATCTATCCGTCACGAGACATACCTGTACGAGGTGCTTATTCCGCTGAGAAGACCCCAGGGAGGACGAAGGAGTGGCGCACAGGAACCCTGGACGCCATGAATCTGCAACAACACTAGGGGGTCAATCGCCCTCTATAAAGTACGAGGAGAAAGAGCTGCTAAGCGTGTGTGACTGTGTATAACACTTGAGAGTAATATGCGGACAAGGACCTGGGGGTAGGACGGAGGGAAAGAATGGTGCCCATCCACTTGGACCGTCCGAGATTGAACATCGACCTGGTAGAAATGAGGTCGTCGCCATACCGACCAATCCAACCGCACGAGGAATATATATCTGTGTGTATATAACATTTTTCGCTCCACTCAAGTTATCTTATTTGATGCACACGCGAAGCATGTACAACATCAACAGAACCTCCGGTTTTCAAGAACAGGGAATAAGCTCTTAAAATATATATATACGAGAACTGTAACTCTGGGGATTGACACCGCCCTGCTCCCTGGTAGTCTGTGGCTGAAGCCGAGTCATGTCATTTTGATATTGACTATCTACTTCCTACCTTTCTTTTGTTTTCACCCCTTTCCACCCCCGCCCCTTTGATATTTTCAATCTCCCCCTTCCTTCTCACCCTCCCCTTTAAGACTGACCTCTCAGCCGGGCCTTGGAGCCAACGTCATCCTTGAGCTGAGAGCCCACAGCCTCCACCTCGACGTAGCCAGCAGCCGAGGAGGACCCGTTCGAGGCAAGGAGCTTCCTGTCAGACTTATCAGAGCTGAGGTCGTGGGAGGGCACAGGGGCCCAGAGACTCCCAACGTCCACCCACGGGCCCCCCACACCACACACCTTCTTCCCTTTGGTTACTTCTGCATGTAAGATGGAAGAAAATCAGCACTAGAAAGCCTAGTAACATGAATTTTGTACAATTATTATTGTTATTATTTTATTATTATTATCAATTATTATTATTATTATTGCAATTTTTAGAAATCTGTTGATGCTTGCTCTATATTTTATTGTTTTCTCAATAAAATATATCTTCTTAAATGAATACTCAGTCTACACAATAACCCCCTTAAAATGTTGCCGTTTTCTAAGAGTTTAGAGAAAACTTATACAAAGCACAGACTAATTTTCATGCACCGTAAAGAGGAATAAAAATTCATCATAGTTGTAATGGCCATGAAAATGCTGTTAATGTATGACAAATTAAACTTTTCAATGATCACACTGAAATGTTAGTAGGGAAAGGTATTTATCAGGAAAAAAAAACGCTAAGCCAGTATGACTATATAACACCTGAAGGATATATAGGATATACTAAACAGCTGGGATATGAGGACGGGCTGAAAGAACGGTGCCAAATCACTTGGACATCAGTGATGGAATCCAACCCTACAAGAAGCAAGGCCGTCACTGTACCGATCACTTTATCAACTTCCGTCCCCCCATCTATCAACTTCCGTGCTAGCGAATTAGGGACACAAGAATCTAAAGTTTGCATGATTGATTTCCTTAAATCATTTTAAGGATTTCTAACGTAAGGTTCGAGGAAAACACGAGGATAGGAAGCCGTCGATCGGCTCTCTATCCTCGACTAGGCCACTAGGAATAGTGTGGCTCTTCAGGTAAATTTACCTTATAAATTATTGTCCTGTTTATCATGTTTATCAAGATAACATGATATGATGAGTCACTGAGTTCAAATATTATACTGAAAGGATTACCTTATGCAGTCAGTCAATGTTAGAAGTCCTGTGTATAACATGTATCCCAGTTTAACAGTGCCTCGTTTGCAATGCGTAGCACACAGTATGCGTGCAGCATAACACCTGGCAGCACAAATTACAGCTGAAGCGTGAATGACGAGGCTGTGTATATACGTCAGAGGTCAGACGTATATACGTCAGAGGTCAGACGTATATACGTCAGAGGTCAGACGTATATACGTCAGAGGTCAGACGTATATACGTCAGAGGTCAGACGTATATACGTCAGAGGTGATTGAGTGAGGTTTAGTATACTCACCTGAGGACAGTGAGTGCCGCATGCCTGTAGTGCACCATCTGGCCGCCAGAGTGCAGCCCACTACCATAACCAACATGGCCACCGCACCCCCAGCCAGTACCAGGAACCACGCCGATCTCACCACTCCTACTCCTACGCCAGGGTCCTGTAAGGGGCAACACCAGCAGCCAGGTAGACAGGATTACTATATAAATCCAGGTTGCGAGAATGAACCAAGTTTTGCTTTCAAATTAACAATTCATATATTTACCTAGTCCCCTGAAAATTTGGCCTCGTAAATTAAAAAAAACAATTGTCCAGTTTCTGAGACTAATTCTCACATAAAATCTCAATAAAGTATTTGTGATTAAAAAGTCTCAAGTTGATTCTCAAGAAATTTATGTTGACCAGACCACACACTAGAAGTTGAAGGAACGACGACGTTTCGGTCCGTCCTGGACCATTCTCAAGACAATCGACTTGAGAATGGTCCAGGACGGACCGAAACGTCGTCGTTCCTTCAACTTCTAGTGTGTGGTCTGGTCAACATACTTCAGCCACGTTATTGTGACTCATCGCCTGCAAGAAATTTATACTTATAGGGAAAATATCAACTCAAAGGTCAAACTTACTCTAAACCCCAGATGTAAATTTCAAGATGTAGACATGTCCGTAAGTTCAACTGACCTTCAAGTGTGTCCTGAGGAGGTTAAGTCTCGCAGGAGGGGAGGGAGGCCCTGGGCCCTTGATGGTGGAGGCCGTCAAGATGACCTCGACCCGAGACGAGGTCACGTTGGGTAGCGTGAGTGAGGTGAGGTGACCCAGCACAGTCACGTTGTGGGTCACTCCCGTGTCACTCTCCTTCACTGTGACCTGCATGAAGTCAGGCAAGATTAGCAGGGACGAAGTGTCGCAACCGAAATTGAATTGAAATTGAAATAAGTTTATTGAGGTAAAATACACACAAAGGGATGAGGTAGCTCAAGCTATTCTCACCCCGTTCAGTACATCGTGTTAATACATACATATAAACACATCACAAACAATAAACATATTACCAAACATTCTGAGAGATAAACATCTATATTTCCTGTCGCAACCGAGGGTAAAGGTTTTCACATATTGTATTTACATAGAGGTTTATATAATAAAAGTAAAGGGAGTTCACTTTAAGTTATAGTGACGCCATTCTAGGGTCCAGAAGAATAAATCCAAAATTGGGATAGAAATTTAACAGTAGATTCGTCTAATTTTCTTCTGCTCAGAAGCTGAATTTCCATATTATTCTGATAATGAGAAAGTGCTTATCAAATAATTTTTTTTTTAAGCACTGTGAACTTTATTAGTGTACAATTTACTATCTCGATAGCGCCTCTAGTGCTCGATTCTATTCGCTCGATTCCTTTATTGAAATAAATAATTCAGAAATTGTTAACTGACATAGTTTCTCCTATAGTGCGATCAATATTATCAAGTGTTATACTTGATAATATATAAATTATACAGTTTCAGTGTTAACTGTGACATTCAACCCACCTAAGATGTTCACGCTCCAAATGCAGCATAATGAGGACTTTATCATTAACTACTTTTGCAGGTTATCAGTATCAACAGACCCCACAAGCTGAATTTTTTGACACTGGTGCCACTTGACAAGTTGGGAAGTGACCCCCTTCGTGGGAACCACTCTGTCGCGAGGCACTTGAAGACGTCTCGCCAGATACTTGTAGAGGACTCACAGGTGTTTGTTGAGGACTCAAAAGATGTTTGTTGATGACTCACAGGTGCTTGAGAATGACCATAGATGACTCACAACGTACATAAAAGGACTCATTGTCCTCTTCTTTGACAACTGCTTACTTGAAGAGGACTCAGACTTGAACTTGAGGATGACTCACCAGGTACTTATGAAGGACTCCATGAAGCAGGTGAGGGGGTGGGTGAGTCCAGTGAAGGGTGAGGGCGTAGAGTCCGGCCCCCGCCCGCGCCGCCCACCATCGGGACAACACCGCCCATCCGGACGGAACTGTAAATCACACAGTCAATATAATTAGTATTACTTTATTTCTGTTTTACTTCGTTTAAGTGTGTGTGTTGTGTTTTTTTTATTCACAGAACAAATTCCCGGGTAACATAATAGACGTGGACTCGTTTGATTGTTTCAAGCGTAGTTTACACAGATACGTGAGTGAGTTTGGGTGCATGTAAATAGGAGCTGCTTCATATGGGCCAATAGGCCTTATGTGGTTAACTTTATCCTTATGTTCGTGTGTGTGTCATCTGTACACCATCAACAGGTGTACAGATTCCTGAGCCTACTGGGCTCTATCACATCTACATTTGAAACTGTGTATGGAGTCTGCCTCCACCACATCTCTGCCTAATGCATTCCACCTGTTAACTACTCTGACACTGAAAAAGTTCTTTCTAACGTCCCTGTGGCTCATTTGGGTACTCAGTTTCCACCTGTGTCCCCTTATTCGCGTACCGCCAGTGTTGAATAGTTTATCCTTGTCTACCCTGTCAGTTCCCCCTGAGGATTTTGTAGGTAATGATCATGTCTCCCCCTCACTCTTCTGTCTTCCAGTGTTGGTGTGTGTGTGTGTGTGTGTGTGCGTGCGCTATGCATGAGAGTGCACGTACATCATAAATATTCTATCAAAATGATTTCACCGAAAATATTTTAACCTGAAGTTAGTGATTGAATCCCTCAGACGTCTGGTGTTACATTGTGCAAGAAGTGTTTAATATACAGTAGGAAGAGCTGCACAAGCGCTTCATACAGCAAATAAGAGCTTCCAAAAAGTACAGCAAAAGCTATAAAAAAAAGTGCAAAAAAGTTTCAAAATGCGCAATAAAGGCTTCAAAATGTGCAGTTACTTTTTCAAAGCCGTTATTACGGACACTCGATCTTTAAACCAAGCGAGGGATGGGGCATCCTGGGAGGGGGGGAGAAGGGGGGCATCCTCACCATCCTGAGGGGTAGTGAAGGGCTGGATGTTGGAGGGCACGCCGAGGACGCCCTTGTAATGTGGCAGAAGGAGGAGCCAGTAGGAGGTATACGGCCGGAGGCCCTGAAGCTGGTAGGAGAGCCTGCCAGGGAAGGAGGTGTGGCCCAGCACCCGCAGCTCAGAACATCTGGGACTAGCGTTCCTGAAGAAGAATCTCTCTGACGCCTCCTCTTTCTCCTCGACCTCTTCCTCCTCCTCCTCCTCTTCTTCTTCTTCCTCCTCTTCCTTCTCCCTTTGCTTTATCGCCGTTGAGTTCTCAGTTTGGGTTCTACTGACGACGTCTGCGCCTGGGGAGGGAGGGAGGTCGTGTCAGAACTGTGTTGATTCAGGGTATTGTCATATCCTAATCTCACCTAATATTACTTATATTAATATGGAAATATTACTGATAATAGTAAGATATTGTTAAATCTATTGGAGAGGTGCTACTAGTAGACATGGGGTACTGTTAGTGTTAACAAAAGAAACTACATCCAGCACGCGTTGCTCATTTGTGAAATTTTAAATAATTTGGTTGTATAAACCGTTCAGTGTGGGTAGTATTGCTGGTTGTATAAACCGTTCAGTGTGGGTAGTATTGCTGGTTGTATAAACCGTTCAGTGTGGGTAGTATTGCTGGTTGTATAAACCGTTCAGTGTGGGTAGTATTGCTGGTTGTATAAACCGTTCAGTGTGGGTAGTATTGCTGGTTGTATAAACCGTTCAGTGTGGGTAGTATTGCTGGTTGTATAAACCGTTCAGTGTGGGTAGTATTGCTGGTTGTATAAACCGTTCAGTGTGGGTAGTATTGCTGGTTGTATAAACCGTTCAGTGTGGGTAGTATTGCTGGTTGTATAAACCGTTCAGTGTGGGTAGTATTGCTGGTTGTATAAACCGTTCAGTGTGGGTAGTATTGCTAGTTGTATAAACCGTTCAGTGTGGGTAGTATTGCTGGTTGTATAAACCGTTCAGTGTGGGTAGTATTGCTGGTTGTATAAACCGTTCAGTGTGAGTAGTATTGCTGGTTGTATAAACCGTTCAGTGTGGGTAGTATTACTGGTTGTATAAACCGTTCAGTGTGGGTAGTATTGCTGGTTGTATAAACCGTTCAGTGTGGGTAGTATTGCTGGTTGTATAAACCGTTCAGTGTGGGTAGTATTGCTGGTTGTATGGACCATCCAATATGAGTAATGCAGTTGGTTGCATAAGAGATTAATTAAATCTATTCCAAGTTTAATTTTAAGTTTAATTGAATTCAAAAAATAAATAACAAAAAATTACGTAAATATGGCGCTTAAAATATTGTAGTTTATGAAGAGTGAGTAAGGCAGTTTTTGATGCGAGTGTGTACTCACCTAGTTGTGCTTGCGGGGGTTGAGCTCTGGCTCTTTGGTCTTTGGCTCTGTGTGTTCGAGCGAGTGTGAGTTCGAGCGAGTGTGTGTTCGAGCGAGTGTGAGTTCGAGCGAGTGTGTGTTCAAGCGAGTGTGTGTTCGAGTGAGTGTGCGTTCGCGCGAGTGTGTGTTCGAGCGAGTGTGTGTTCAAGCGAGTGTGTGTTCGAGTGAGTGTGCGTTCGCGCGAGTGTGTGTTCGAGCGAGTGTGTGTTCGAGCGAGTGTGTGTTCAAGTGAGTGTGTTCGAGTGAGTGTGCGTTCGCGCGAGTGTGTGTTCAAGCGAGTGTGTGTTCGAGTGAGTGTGCGTTCGTGCGAGTGTGTGTTCGAGGGAGTGTGTGTTCGAGGGAGAGTGTGTTCCAGCGAGTGTGTGTTCTTGTGAGTGTGTATTTGTACGAATGTCCATGTGTGTAAGCGGGCACACACATGCACTCCAGAAGAGACTTCTACCGCCCAAGAAAGTGAAGCACGAAGCTTATCTTTACTTCTCTCATCCGCTAGGGATATATGTGTGAACTATTTGGGATGAAATAAGCTTAATTACGTTTGTTTGAAACAATAAAGAAAATTACATAACTATTCACAACTTTAATTCCATAATAAATTAAAAACAATCTGGCCTTTTGGCAATACAATACACCAATGACGTCATCTATCCCATGTCCGAATACTCACGCGAGCTTCGGCTTCCTCCAAGATGATCCACAGTGGATGGGGTGGAACTGCCAGTAGTTTGCTGGAGAAGAGAAGAGTGCCACTTGAAGTGATGGTTGTGATGTTGGTTGTGGTTGATGGAGATGTCGAGTGCCTGGAGTTGCTGCTGGACCCTGGGGGAGACGAGGCCGCGGCCTCGCTCACACCCTAGGATGTAGATGCCTTCCAGGCGCTGAGTCGCTCGACCCGTCTGTATGGCAACACTGATGTAAATATTCTCCCACGGTCCGTTCTGAATTAACGTTAAATATCAATTGTTTTTTCCTTCAAAACTTTAATTATTTATCATTAGGATTGTTGTGTATTGTAGGATGTGATTATGTGTGTATTGTTGGGCTAATTGTGTGTCTATACTCGCTCAGCTGATCCCGGGTGTGGGAGTGGGGAGAGGGTCGAGTCTCAGTTCATG